CATGTCCTAGTGCTTAAAACATTTTCAGATTAACAGTGGATCAAATGACTTAATGTAAAAGATGATGAACATAGTGATGAACCCACTGAGAATTATGCAGTTCCCCATTTCTCTTGCAGCTCAATGTTTTGGTTTTAATTTTAGATTTTTATGAAGTTCTAGTCGGCTCTGTAGGAAAAGTGTACTGAAATAACTGCCTGTGCACAAAATTGAGTGTTTAGCAGCTAATATTTTCCCTCAGAACATGCATTACATAGCTTAAAGAGGAGTGAATAGTTGTCCAAACATAAATTAAAACATGAATCCAAATGAGACTGACTCACTTCTGTAGCCAGCCTCAAGTGGCCATTAGAGGAACCTCCGTTTTTGTTACTTTGTGTTGGCTTCCACAGAGGTTGCCACTTGCTTTTCTTCCATTTGTCTATCTTTTTAGTTATTTCCTGATTTTCCTTCCTTCTGTATTTACCATATTTTTTCTTCTTCTGTAGGTTCATCCTGCTGTTCTTGGTCTTCCATAGTTTCCATCCTTGTGCCAGTCCTTATGTTCAAATTTAATTCCTTTCTTCCATCCACTGGCATGAAAACGGTGAGATCTTCAACAGTGAATATGTTTTGAATAAGGTTTTTACATGACAGCATAACTTCAGAAAACATTTACTTGTAATTGTGCATTTTCTATTTTGGTACTTTAACTTAAAGTTGCATTAATTGGTTTTTGTCCACTAGGGGGCAACATACTGACTATCACATTGTCTCTGTTGTTTCAGCTAATGGAGTTGTGATTGTGTCCACCTAATTAATGTAAGTCCAATATTTTACCTCATTTTAGCTCTGGTTCCATGCTTTCCATCAACTCCTGAGAAAAAACATCTGGCTTTTTAGCTGTTAAATGCTCCACTTCACCAACTAGTCGCTCACATTGTCTGCTTTTTGGTGCTGTGCAGGTGGATTTATCAGTGCATTTTCGCTGAAAACAGCTGGAAACAAGGTTGATGAGAGCACTGAGACGGAACCATGCTGCAAATGGGCTCTTGAGGTAAAAGAAGCTGCAGAGTTGGTGATGATTCAGTCATTTCAGCACTGCAGGCTTAAATTTGATTTAAGGTTAATATCACAAAAACGCACTGAATGTGATCAACTCTTGATATCCTGGTTACAGACTTTATAGATTACCACTTTGTTTGTCTTTAACCTTTGACCTCGAGTTCATCCCAAGTTCACTTCATGGTATTTTAGCACCATATGGAAGGAACAGACTTATACAGAAACTAAAGGTGCCTGTAGGCACTTCTATGCTTCTGTTATTTGTAATTTGCATAAATTATTCCTCTTCCTTAAAATCCTGTTTAGACCGGGGCATGATGTCCTCGCCACAAGAAATATTTTTACATCACATTTTGTGGCTCGGCATCTGTCTCTCGCTCGGAGTGCCTCTGCACCGAGTGTTTATCAGTGTTTCAACTATGTGATCTCTGAGATGAATCAATAAGATATGTAAATAAGCTTTATGCAAATGAGATACAAGTGGGTGTTGTGAGCATGAGAAAAGGAGAAAGAGGTGAGAGTCTGGAGTTTTTTTGGAAGTCTGCAGCGCGATCACACTGCCAGGCTTATTAATCTCTTGCGCTTCAGTGGCACAGTGTGGTACCTCATCGTCACACTGCCTGCTGTTTCCACCACCTTCCTCTGAAATTACAGTCAGTAATCTGTTTGGCACTTAGACGAGTCACAGAGGAGAGAAAAAAAAACAACAGGAAACATATTCAGAGAGAAATAAACATTTTAATTAGGTGTTTGGCACTGATAAATTTAGATTTCACACGCACACAAACAAGATAACGTTTCCAAAACCTCGAAATTAAATAAAAGATTTGTATTTAGATATAAGAGATTTGTATTTAGATATACATTAAGTTAAATAATCTGAAATATGGTGTTTGAATGACTTTACATGCACACACCTGCCCTACTTCACAACAATGGCACTTTGAAATATGTAGGACAAGCCCACTCTTAAAGTGAAGTGCCACATGAAATAAGACTGTACATCACACTCTTGACAGACAAGAATAAATACAGATGTTAAAAAATGTAGGAAGTTGTCTGGTTTGATATCCGTCACAGTGCCCGGGAAGCACAAAAAAAGGGCTCGTCCTCCATCGCGTGTCGAGGTCTCCGTCGAATTTACAACAAAAGTCATGCAACTGTGGCGTCGTCCTGTGGAGAGGTAGATATCGCTCGTCTTTGAACTGTCACACACGTGGGTCTCGTTTTAGAACGGGTCAAAGTCACAGGGACGAATTAAAAAAGCAGTCGCTCTGGGACAAAGAGATGTTCCAATGGCGGTTGAAAGTTCAGTTTAGTTCATCTGGCTCTAGTACGCGGATAATTGTCTCAGAATGAACCACAAAAATCTAAACCAAAGCGTCTCTTTCTGCTGTGAATAGTTGCAGGTGAGGCAGCTTTGTGCGGTACAGAAGTGTTTTTTGTTTCTGAGCTTTTTCCGTCCAGAAAACTGTCGTCGTGGCATCGGACTCTAAACAAAATCTCGTCATCGAGGGGCTGCACCGTTCTCCAGGTCTTCAGGGCAACTGGATCTAGTTTCTTTTTGTGATGCTGCTTTGTTCCTAATCATAGGTTTAGTACAGATTCTGTCGCCCTGCTGCCTTTTCAGCATCCGCTCTTTCCTCTTCCCTTCTTTACTTTCCACTGAAGCCAAATGTCTGGTGGCTAAAGGTCTGTTTCCTGATGTTTCCTGATGTTTCCTGATGTTTGTTTCCTGATGTTCATTCAGGCAGCTGCATTGTGTTTCCCCTGCCTCTTTCTCTACAGTTGAATTCGATGAAGAATTTGTGGTTCTATGTGATGATCTATGTGTCTTGAGAACACATTTTAAGCTACAAATTAACTAACACATTTCACTACACTGTCCACTTGTTCCATTTCAGCCTTTTTCCTCAGTTAGAAGTCAAATCAGGCCTCGGCTTTTCACCCTCCCATCAAAACGCCCTTTGTCAAAGCTCGCCATGGTTTGCATTTTTTTGTGAACTTGAGTGTGAAGCGTAACAGACGCAGCAGGGAGTGCAGAGGTGCTGCTGGCAATCTGCAAGGTCACTGACAAAAAAGTGAACGCATACAGAAACTCAAAGAGTCGAAGCCAAAGCGACACAAATAGTTTAGGGAAGCCCTTTGTAGGTCACCTTCCCTTCTTGCTGTGCTCTGGTCCATGAAGTTCACTTTTAAAACTTGGAGAAAGTTCTGTGAAAATGATGCTGTAGTCTCCCTTTTTTCTTTCCAGCATTCTGCCATTAAGATGGAAAGGGTTGCAGTTCAAGTCCTCAGCTTCCACCACTGCAATCACTCATATCTTGGTCTCTTTGTGGTCTGGTCTGAAGGAGTCTCGGATCGCCAGGAGACCGGCGGCCAAAAGATGTCCGCTCACTTTGCTGTGCCACTCCTGCGACCGACCCCTGAAGATAAAGCAGACAAAGAAAAGGTCAGACTGATACATTTGTACAGAGAACCACCTAGAAGTTACCACAGAAGCTTAAGTTGTAGCTGTTATAAATTCCACAATGAGTCAAGAAGAATCCTCTGCCTTTTCAGAAGTGCACATTTAGTCTTTCCAGAGCATCTATACAAATATTCAATATTGTTAAAAACATTAGGAGAAAAACACCCATACACCCTTGGTTTGTCGAGGACAATATTTTCTATACAGTAATTGTAACATGTATCTTGTAAAGACATTTCCCCCCCATTAAAGGGAACATCCACATGCATACTATCTCTAAGATTAAAGATTATAACATGTTTAAAGGCTTCTGGGGATAAACATAAATGCATCTTCATATCCCAGTCATTAATAAACATTTCCCATATACATTTTTAAAACACTGCAGTGACACGAGTACAAACTTTGAGTTAAGTGCTCATTCCTACTGGAGGTTATGAGCTACTATTTGAAATTATATATTCTAATGCAATTTAGTCTGCTAACTTCCAGTCTTTCAAGCTACACCAGGCCAAACAGTTATGTTTACACTTTTAAATGACATATAAGAGATCAAATATTTGACTCAATTACTGCAGTTAGAGATCTCCAGTAGCTTTAATGTGCATAGTTTCACCTGAGCTATGTGTTATGTTTGTAATTACAACTATGTTATCTATATGAGTTATTATTCCTGTGCAATCTGGTGTTTTACAAGTGACACCTGCACTTAAATGTTTGTTTCACCTGCGGTGTCTTTAATGTTGGTAGTTACAACTATGTTATGTTTATTAGTATTTACACCTGCAGTATTATTCATATCAGAAGTTACACTTGTCTTATCCTTAGTGTCTGGAGTAACACCCTCGCTATCATTGTTTCATATTACAATGTATCGTAAATTCTCTTTGTTAGTGAAAACTGTGTGTAATGGCTGGCTTCCACAGCTGCTTTACTTGTTCTGTTTCAGCACACTAAACTAAACAACAACTAAGCAAGTTATGTATTTGCATCTTTTATGCATCTTATATGCGTCTCTGAACTTTTCTTTTCACTGCAGTTTCAGACAAACTCCAGGCCAAACAAAACATCCTTGATGTTTCTCACTCACTGAGACCATAACGCATTTAATTTCCTCTGGAGGCGATAGGATCTGTTTCACAGGCCTGTACTGTAAAAAGCCCCGTTGACCTTGATGCTGTGGATCTGTTGTCTTGCCTTGAAAGCTAACAAGCACTTAAAATTAATGTCATAGCAAATAAGTCCAAAACAGCCTGGCGCACCACAGACGTTTAGCTTGAGCTCAGTCATGAGAGGAAATTAAAGGCGAGAGGAAGTGACAGACAAAGGGAAAGAGTGAAGGCATTCATCCCTCTGGGTGTTTTCACTTCTTTCTTACATGATCACTCTTGCATAAGAGAAGCATTGGCAGGCCAATGTGGCTCAGACGCCTGCTGGTTGCTTGTAAATGATCTTGTGGCTTATTTCACTTCTGCACACACACTCTTCGTTGCTATGGATAGCGTGAATGTGTGAACACTTGATAACAGCAGCAGTTCTCGGCCGTTCCCTATCACTCCACACACTCGGCACATACTCATCAGAAAATTAGAAAGAGACACAAGGCTGTGAGCACACGCTGACGTGATCCTTTCAGTACACTTGGTAATGGGCCGACTAAAAGCCTACTGAGATGATCGCACAGTTATAGATCAAATCTGTCTCTGCCTTCCCTCTTTTTAATGTCACGAGTCACCACTTTCACTCACTAATGCCTCGATTCCAGTTCAGTCTGTTTCTTATGGAATCTCATTAAGTGGAAATTAAAACTATTCACAGAAAGTTACTAAATTAAACTCATGACTGACCTTGAGGAATTAGGATCCCTAAATCAAAAGTTGATCAAAGTTTTGACTGTCTGAGAGATATGAGGTTCTATCTTGTAATTTTTAGGTAGCAATACAACATTTTTGACTATAATAATTTTAAGTTAGTATCTTTCAATATTGGTTTATTCAAAATGATAAGCCATTGAGACAAAATGAGTAAGTCTCATCATTTTTAGTCAGGTTGCTATCATTTCTCTAGGGGTGGTAATGTCAGTTCTTTAGTCTCCAATATCTTAGCAGCTATCAGATAAATTGTTGTGACATTTTGGTCAGGCATTCATGTTCACCAGAAGATGAATCCTTATGACTTTGGTGATCCCCTTTAATGTTTCTCTAGTGCCACCATGAGCTCCACATTTGTAACAACTTTCCACATAATGCCATTTTATTAGGTAATACTGTGTAAAATAATAACTTTATTTATTTGTGACTAAATATCTGCAATGACATTCCCATCAGCCTCAGATGTATTATCATTAACTTTGTGGAGATGTTAGCATGCTGATGTTAGCATTTAACTTAAAGCATTGTGTTGCGGTCTTAATGACTTGAATGAATTGTGTAGGATCAAAGACGTCATCCCACACACACTATATCACATGTACCCACTGTATGCAGGGTTTTGGCAGGAATGAGCCTCCACAAATATCTGTTATCAGCCTTTCATCTCTTTTCCCATCCCTCTGGGCCTCTGTTATATAGAATCCGTGCAGAGGACACATTGTGCGTGCTTATAACGGAATTGACCAAATCTGCAGTTGCTTTCTCCTGTGGCTGTTGGAGAAAAAACAAACTACAGTGCAGTTAAATGACAGAGATGCTATGAGGCCCCGGCCCTCTGTGAGAGAGCTGCTGCCACCTGTTTTCTGTCGCACTGAGGTTCATTTCATTTAATCAACTGAGACAAATAAAGCTGCAGGGCTCCGCCGAGAGTCAAATTGATCATGTAAGCAGCAGAAAATCTGCAGGAACTTAGTTTCAAAGGGCATGAATCATGAGAAGGAGGGCTGTTCCTCCTCCTCGACTTCCTCTCGCTCATGTGCTCACCTACAGGGAGGTTGTGATTGTGTTGCAGATAGATGCTGGCAGAGGTCAAAAACACAGAACAGGCTCAATTAAGACGGATGAGATGGACTAACAGCTCTCTCCAGATATTTCTTTTAATAGGCTTCTCACAGCCTTAAATCCTCTCAGCCTCTCTGTAGTTCCTGCAGCTCCCTTTGCCCTTGGTTTTACTTCTGTCTTGTCTTTATTCCTTAAAGGACCTTTCTGCCAATGAACTGTGAACAGATTAAATAAAATAGACATATTGATATCCGCCATATTGAGTAATTGGTCTTTTAGTACAGGAACTAACACCTGTGTTTTTGTATATTTTGGACTAAAAGACTAAAAAGGAAACATTTTAACTTGTTTTTATGTAAATTTAGTATTAATTTAAAAAACGATATGGTGAGTGATTTAAAAGGAATTCCAACCAACTGAAAAATGCATCCCCAGTAGTGTCTAGTCATGCATATAGATGGGAGGTTTTATATGCCAAGGTCTGCAGTTTCTGCCTCCACCCCAACACAATGGAGCTGTGAATAGTTTTCAATTTCTTTGTTTGAAGGTATTTTCAGTAAAAACTGTTCAGAGAGGTCTGCGTGGATATAGAAACCAAGACAAACTGAACTGGCCACCTGATGGTGAGATATGATCAAAAAATCAGTGCCCTCAAGTTATTTTACAAGTAGACCTGTTCTGTCTGTGTCAAGTTTCAAGCACAAAAATGTCACGTAAGAGTAAAAAGAGGTCTTCATACCACAAAGCTTCTAAACAAAAACATTACACATTTCAATTAGAAAATATGAACAGCACAGCTGGTGACGACATGTCATTAAAGAGCTCTATATCAGACTGAACCAAACGCAGCCTCCGACACCCATGGAGGCCAGGTGATTTACCACGGCTCCTACCAGGACTAGAGACGTGAAAGGGAGTTGCAACTTGATTTGTAAGTA